CTTTGTTGTTGTTGCTGAGCTGCTTTTTCTTCGTTTCAAAGTCAAATAAATAAAAGAGAGAGAGAGAGACGAGCGAACAACAGGTTTAAACTACGCAAGCGGAGCAAATAAAAAATAAAATAAAACTACAAATAATAGAAGCGACGCGAAAAAATGGAAATCTCTGTGGAGTATCTCTCTCCCTCTCTCTAAAAGATTTCGATTCCGATTTGTAGATTCCGTTAATACGTTTATTGCCAAACGTAAACAAACTTGACACTCAAGTGGAGCATTCCGGAAAACAACAATAACAACGACGGCGGAGCTAGAACCATAAAAAAATCAGGAAAAGCTAGAAAAAAGAAACCAGCACGCTTGCTAATACATTTTGTACACCCTTAAATCTATAATTAGCCCCACCAAACCACAATCAGCGCGAAAACAAAGTCCACGCGCTTCTAAAAAAATATGGCAAAGAAAAGAAACCGAAGCCTTGAACCATATTTGGTTTACAAGCAATATGGGCGAAAAAACGGCAACGCTACACAAATATTTGGCCTTGTTTGTAAATTAGTTTATTGAATAATTACAGTTTACCGGGTTCCAGACCATAATGTTAATTGAAGGTTCTAAAATCTCAACATTTCTTTTACGTGAAAGTTGATGTATGTACATACATATGCAAGTTTGTATGTACTATTTGTTTTTTCTTGTATTACTATTGCTATACTATTATTATACCTTTTGACAATTCATTAATGCATATTTCTTATATTTTCCATAAAATAATATGCCCGCAGGGCCTTACGTTAGTATGCCTTACGTTACACAAATCAAAATCAAATCGTGCCAAACCCAAAAACAAAGAAAATTGCATTTACTGCACTCACTCACACGAGCAAAACAAAAAAAAAACTACATACGTAAATGCGGGCCAACATATACACACACACACACACGCACACTATATATGCGATAAGTTAAGTTGTGCTAGCGAGAGGGGCGACAGATGCAGCGAGCAAAAAAAAAGAGGGAGAGCGCACGAAACTTCGAGTTCGACTTCGACTCTTTTGCTTCGACTTCGAGTGATTGTAGCTTTGTTGTTGTTGTATTTGTATTTCTCGATCACAGGCCACACAAAAACAACAACAAAAAGAGATGACGAACGACCAGCAGCAACAGAAGAAGACGATGCCATAGAAGAGGCAGAAGAATGCCCTTGGGGCAGCAGTTGCTGCTGCTTTTTTTTTTTTTTTTTTGGTAGCTAAATATTTGAAGGCTTTTTGAGGTTAAATAATGCTGCAATGCATTCATTGTTCAGATACACGGTTGGTATATATGTAATGTACCAAAAAACTAACCGCAAAATGAATGTACATACATAGATACATATTTATGTACATACGTACATACATACTAGGTAAATATGGATGTATTTTGCGGTTACTTGTTTGTTTCCAAACAAGTTGCGGTACTTTAAAAACAATTAAGGCAACGTATGTACATATATATGTACATACATACATATGTTTTACATATTGTATGCCTGTATGTATAAAAGTATCTTATAAAATAAACTGTAACCATGCCCGAAAGGGGCAATTCAAACAAAATATAATCTAAATAAAGGGTTTCTGTTATTTTGTGGTTTTTGAAACAATTAAGGGATCAAAGCTCTTTGAATCTTATAGAAGTATGTATGTATGTACATTTTTTAATTGTACCCAATGTATTAGTGTATATAAATACAAATGTACATATACATATTTATATACATCCAAGAAAATGTCAAGCATTTTATAGAAGGATTACACATCATTATCTGTACCCTATACGTCAAAGCAATGGTTTTACAAAAAAAAAGGTATATATACATATTGTATTCCACGATAAGGGTTAAATATCTATAAGTATTCGGATTCCCTTTTTACAACCACCACCATTTGCCTGTTCGGCCAATTGAAAGGAAAGCGTTTGGATGATTGGATATTGCAAGTGGTATCGGAATTAGCCAGAGTCGTACGTCGTACATACGCTTTGAATGCGGCTCATCCCACTCAATTAGACCCCCCCCCTGCCTCATCTGCCGCCCGCGCCAGAGCCATGCTCAGTGTAATTACCGTTAACCGAACTTAGCATTGTCTTTGGCCGGCCCTCTGTAACGTAACTGTAACTGTAACTAGCGCGCTTTCTCCGCTCTGCTCTGCTCGTTCACTGTCCGTTTTCGGGCGAGTTACTTACTACTAGTACAGTACAATCACTGTGATCACACGGAAGAAGGTCAAATTAAATTAATATAATAGGATAAGTTAATATAATAGTGTATAGCGTAAGAAAATATCAACTTTATGGAAATATATTTTACTTATATATGTATGTATCTACGTTTATTGTTAATAGAAATTTTTCGTCCTCGTATACATTTTTTCCTCTGTATTGAGTGAGCACTGTATGGCGAACGGTGTACAAGTAAGTGTGAGGCATGAATGGAGTGCGCGAGAAGAGGAGGCATTGCTTTGGGTAGCGACTCGACTAAGACTAGGCCGATGGCCCAGGCAATGTTGTGCACCCACCTCCTCCTCTACCACAACATCTTCTCCCCATTGCAGCACCACCCCACCCCGAAGTGACGGAAATCCCCATGAAGAGACGGATAGGGGGGACGAAGAAAAAGAAAACAAACTGTTGGCGGCTGCTTTTTCAGCAACGAGTTATGTGAGCGAGAGCGAGAGAGGTAACGAAGCGAAGCGAGGCAAGAGGGGGAGGCAAGGCCGCAATTAATTACAAACTTACCCAGCTGTCCCCACACGTTGCCCCCGCTCGCCAACAACGCTTCTCCTTTGTGTCTGTGTATGCGAAAAGTGGCACGTATCAATGTTGAAAGCATAAAAACACAAAGAGACCCAAAAGAGTCGCGCTGTCACTGTTGCCGCGCTGTTGTTGGTGTTGTTGCTGTCTCGCGCAGTAGGAAGACAAGAGAGAAATGCAAATGCCTACCGTTACGTTAGTAGGACCTGGACCTTACGTTAATGCCTGACGTTACCCTTTCTTAAATTTGTTTTTGTTCTGTTTTTTGGTTTGACCAACAAAATATATGTACAGTGGTGCTCATAGACTTAAGCCACAAGACTTCATCCAAGAATTTTAACGAAAATTAAGAAAAGTTTTTATTCCACAGCTCCAATTATTTGTGTCACATTAGTTCTATATATCAGTGTTCTAATAAAAGAATAACCAAGTTATAAAAATATATATTCAACGAAAAATTAAAAAAATCTGAGACCAACCCCAAAATGTCCTGCTCACATACTTAAGCCACCTGGAAGAAAATGATCCAAAAAGTTAAAATTTGCCCAATATTCCTTATAATTTTAATAAATTTAGTTTAATATTAAGTGGGATGACCTTTCTGATTAAGAACAGCGGAGCAACGCTTTGGCATTAAGCCCACAAGACGTGCGCACTGTTGAGGGGTGATTTTCTTCAACTCTTCCTGCAAAATATGCCAAAATCGTTTTTTTTTGCTGTTTTTTGGCCAACGACTTGTTTAAGAATACCCCACAAGTTCTCTATAGGGTTCAAGTCGGGGATCTGCGGTAGCCATTGCAAAACATTGATTGTCTCTTGGCTAAGCCACGACTTGACTATCTTGCTGGTGTGTTTCGGGTCGTTGTCCTGTTGAAATATCCAGGCAAGTGGCAAATTATCGGCATATTCTCCAGATAAATTGTTAATAAGGATGTCCCTGTACATTTCGCCGTTCATAATGCCTTCTATCTTCTTTTTGGAGACCTACGCCCGATGCGGTGAAACAGCCCCAGACCATAATCGAAGCGCCACCATGTTTAACGATCTTTTTCGTGTATGTTTGATTGTTTGGAGCGACGAATCCAAGTTTAATGTCTTTGGGAGTGATGGTAAACCATATGTACAACGTCCTCCCAACAAACAATTGGACCCCAAATACACGAGAAAGACCGTTAAACATGGTGGCGCTTCGATTATGGTCTGGGGCTGTTTCACCGCATCGGGCGTAGGTCTCCAAAAGAAGATAGAAGGCATTATGAACGGCGAAATGTACAGGGACATCCTTATTAACAATTTATCTGGAGAATATGCCGATAATTTGCCACTTGCCTGGATATTTCAACAGGACAACGACCCGAAACACACCAGCAAGATAGTCAAGTCGTGGCTTAGCCAAGAGACAATCAATGTTTTGCAATGGCTACCGCAGATCCCCGACTTGAACCCTATAGAGAACTTGTGGGGTATTCTTAAACAAGTCGTTGGCCAAAAAACAGCAAAAAAAAAAAACGATTTTGGCATATTTTGCAGGAAGAGTTGAAGAAAATCACCCCTCAACAGTGCGCACGTCTTGTGGGCTTAATGCCAAAGCGTTGCTCCGCTGTTCTTAATCAGAAAGGTCATCCCACTTAATATTAAACTAAATTTATTAAAAATTATAAGGAATATTGGGCAAATTTTAACTTTTTGGATCATTTTCTTCCAGGTGGCTTAAGTATGTGAGCAGGACATTTTGGGGTTGGTCTCAGATTTTTTTAATTTTTCGTTGAATATATATTTTTATAACTTGGTTATTCTTTTTATTAGAACACTGATATATAGAACTAATGTGACACAAATAATTGGAGCTGTGGAATAAAAACTTTTCTTAATTTTCGTTAAAATTCTTGGATGAAGTCTTGTGGCTTAAGTCTATGAGCACCACTGTACATATGTATGTATGTACATACATATGTACATACAAGTCATAATTTAAGAGGAACCGCAACAACCACCTAAAATGGCAATCGTTTGGATGAATATGAATGTACATTCTGTATGTACACACATACAAACATAATGCGTTTTTTAATGCTAAAATCTATAGAAAGTAGAGTCCAAAAAGAAAGCAAGAACAAGAAATCTAACAATGCTCCAAGCACAAGTCATTTCTTAAATGCAGCCAAATCGACACATACACACAAACATACTTATTTATGTAAGTTAACAACACAAAGGTTAACGGCGAAAAAAGCACAGCAGCGGCGACGGCACACGAAGGCTTACGGTAGAAGCTGGTGGACGGCGGTGATCTGTGCGAGCTAGGGTCATGATTAAGCTTTCTCTGTAAATTTAGTTCTGAACTGGCAGCCGAACAATAAAGGCATATTTCACTAATCAAGCATCATTTAATACAGCCGATGCTAAGACCCTGCTATCGGCCATATCTTGATTAAACAAAGGAAGCCAATTGGGATACGTCACAAGTCGTGGCCACCACCCGGTCTCGATCCGCACTCGGCACTACTCAACGGCAACCGAGGCGAGCACCAAGTGACTGGTCGTTGTGGGCAGCAACTAGCCGCAACACCTATCCCGGAACCAACAACTACGTGAGCACCACGTGCCACGGTGACAACCCCCTGCAGGAAGCGTGCAGGCGGTGGACATTGCGGGCAACTACCTTGCCGCATTATCTCAACAGTGACGTAATCACTGATCGTGGCCACCACCCGGTCCCGATCTGCATTCGGCATCACTCTACGGATTCCGAGGCGAGAGAATATCGCGGGCAACTACCTTGCCGCGGTATATTAAAAACCTTATCTGGCGCCCAACCAAGTCGACGACCCCGACAAGGAAACCGAATCTGGAAGGCTCGAGTTAAAATAATATAAATCAAAAATTAGAATCCTAGAACGGACTGTTCGGGATAGCAGAGAAGACCACAAAACTGAATTCCGGCGGATCATAGCTTCATGTAAGTGGAATTTTTTTTATGAATCGCCAAAAGAAAATATAAATCAAAATCTGCAATACACAGAATATATTGCATTAAGCATTTATTTTGGGAAATCGTGTTGGCATTAACTTAAAGTAATTCAAGTTCAAGTAATTTTTTTACTGTGCATAAAAAGCAGTACAGTCGCCGCATCGCATGTTTATTTTTCAGCCCCGATTTGTTCATATAATTAGTAAAATCTGAAAGAATACGGTAAATAGATAAACGCTCGGCGCCAAGCTTGGCGACGATCCAATATTTTGTGACTTATTTATTCGGCGCTTGCTTGCACTCGGGCTTCGTTATCAGTGCGGGACTGCCCAATACCTTGAAAGTGGTTGTATGAGCGAGTCAGGGTCTGAAGACTTAGTTAATCAACTGAGTAAGCTCGTTTTAACGGACGACGAACTTGAAAGACAGGAAAAATACAGTATGGATCCGGAACAACTACAGTCAATCATAAACGCAGTTGTAGTGGCCGCACTAAAGGTGCAGAGAGAAGACTTTGAGGCAAAGTTAAAGGAAGTCACTGACAAGCTTACCGCTACAACAGAATCTGCTCCTGAGATTACAATATACTTGCCCGTTGCTGTAACCGGCAAGGTGACGTGTGATGAAAGTCTTGATGCGGTAAAATCATTGCCAGAGTTTGATGGGTCACAAGGAAAATATGTCTCTTGGCGGCAGGCAGCGGTAGCTGCATATCAATTGTTCAGAAACTATGACGGTAGCTCTAGACATTATCAGGCAGTTCTCATAATCCGGAACAAAGTAAGGGGTTCCGCTGATTCTATTCTTGCGTCATTTAATACAGTCCTTAATTTTGACGCTATTATTAGCCGCCTTGATTTCACGTATTCCGACAAGCGCCCATTACACTTGCTCGAGCAAGAGCTCACAACACTCAGGCAGGGACAGATGTCTATTACACAGTTTTATGAGGAGGTTGAAAAGAAGCTTACACTCCTTACGAATAAGACAACTATGACATATGAGGCCGACCATGCCCGGTATATGAATGATAAGCATAGGGCTGATGCCCTGCGTGTGTTTATTTCTGGACTGAAAAGAAACTTAACTGATGTGCTCTTTGCTGCTCAGCCTAGAGACTTGCCTACGGCCCTAGCAATGGCTCAGGAAATAGAGGCAAATCACGAGAGGCATGCCTTTGCGTCACAGTATGCCAAGTCCATAGAAGAGAAATACCTCAGGCAGGGTCAGAGTCGTCATTTACAAAAAACATTCGAATCCAACCATGAGCAGACATTTAGAAAGGGGTGGAAAAATCCGTATTTTACCAGGGATCAAGGGCAACGACCCGTTGTCGACAGCAGAGTGTTCGAAAATATGGACGTAGATCCAACATCGTCAAAGTTCCGCCAGGCGACAAACTTTCAGCGCCCTCAGGGTTCTTCCACGCAACAGCCACTTGATGCACAGCAACAGAGTACTCAATATAGACCGACTAACTCTCAAAAAATGTCGGACTTTAGGCGTCAAAGAGTTAACCACCTATTTGAAGAAGATCAGGATGGTCAAATTGAGGAGCGTTATAATCAGATTGCTACTGATGCGGTAGTTGATATAGACGGTGAAGAAGAAACGGACTATGAAACCGATGCCGTGCATTTTTTAGGGGTTCATCCCTGCTTCCGTTCGTTCAACGAACAGTAGCAGGGGAGCTACGAAAGTTTTTAGTAGATACGGGGGCCTCTAAAAGCTACATCAAGAAAGAGATAGGATTGCCGACTTCAGTTCCCGTCAACTCACCTTTTATTGTCAAGTCGCTTCATGGGTTTGAAACAATAGAACGAAAATGTTTGGTTGATCTTTTTGGTGTAGAAAGCCTTTTTTTTATTCTTCCTGGTCTCAAAACGTTTGACGGCATAATCGGCCTTGACTTGTTGGTGCAAGTAGGCGCGACAATTGATCTTAAGGGCCATTCTATTAGGTTTAGTGGTGGACAGGAGGATCTACACTTTGAAAAATGCGCTCAAGTTAACTTCACAAAAATTGAGGATATTGTCGTTCCCCCAACTGTGAAAGAAGGTTTCCAGCAGATGATGAATAAAAACTCGGCAGCATTTGCTGACCCCAATGAGAAGTTACCATTCAACACAAATGTTGTTGCGACTATTCGGACAGAGGATAATGAGCCAGTTTATTCAAAGCTTTACCCATTTCCTATGGGCGCTTCTGATTTCGTCAATCGGGAGATCGAAGACTTACTCAAAAATGGAATTATTCGGCCATCTAGGTCTCCCTACAACAACCCTATATGGGTTGTAGGTAAAAAAGGCATCGACGATTCGGGATCGCCCAATAAACGCTTGGTAGTCGATTTTAGAAAATTAAATTTGAAGACTGTTGCAGATAGATACCCAATGCCAAGTATAAGTATGATACTGGCCAATCTCGGGAGGGCCAAATTTTTCAGTACCCTCGATCTCAAGTCTGGCTATCATCAGATTGAGCTTGCAGAAGTGGACCGAGAGAAAACTTCTTTTTCGGTCAACGGAGGCAAATATGAGTTCTGCCGCCTACCATTCGGCTTGAAGAATGCCTCAAGTATCTTCCAGAGGGCAATAGATGACGTTCTGCGGGATCAGATAGGAAGGATCTGTTACGTCTATGTGGATGACGTAATTGTTTTCTCAGAGACTGAAGAATCTCATATTGTTCATATTGGGCAGGTTTTAAAAAGTCTTCATGATGCCAACATGCGTGTGTCTAGGCAAAAGTCGCAATTTTTTAAGGAAAGTGTCAACTTCCTTGGTTTTGTTGTTGCAAGGGACGGTATTAGGACAAGCCAGGACAAGGTTAAAGCCATCAAGGAATTTAAACAGCCAAGCAATTTGTTCGAGCTGAGATCGTTCTTGGGTTTAGCGAGTTACTATAGATGTTTCGTAAAAGATTTCGCATCTATAGCGAGACCTTTGACGAATATTCTAAAGGGTGAAGGCGGCAGGGTCAGCAAACACCGTTCAAAAGGCATTTCGGTAAGCTTTGATGAGCCTCAGTTAAGCGCATTTGAGAAGCTTAGAAATATTCTTGCATCAGAGGACGTTATCCTTCATTACCCGGATTTTACGCGGCCATTTGATCTGACAACCGATGCATCATCCTCAGGCATAGGTGCAGTTTTATCTCAGGGAAACAGACCAATAACCATGATATCCAGAACACTGAAAGATATGGAATTAAATTATGCCACGAATGAAAGGGAGTTACTAGCAATCGTATGGGCCTTGGATAGTCTCCGTCACTACCTCTATGGCAAAAGTGACATAAATATATTTACGGACCATCAGCCACTTATTTTTGCTGTTTCTGACAAAAACCCGAATTCAAAACTTAAGCGTTGGAAAGCTCGCATTGAAGAGAGCGGTGCCAAAGTTATGTACAAGCCAGGGAAAGAAAACTGTGTGGCGGATGCTTTGTCGCGCCAAAGTATTAACGCCTTGCAGAGCTCAGTAGCGTCAGATCAAGCCACTATTCATAGTGAAGAATCGTCAACACTTGTCATTGAGGCCACGGAAAAGCCACTTAACTGTTTCCAGAATCAAATTGTATTGGAAGAGGCGTCTACGCCGAGTAAAAGGCTATTTATAGTTTTTGGTACAAAGACTCGCCATCAAATTGATTTCACTGATTGGGAGTCATTACTGGAGTTAGTAAAAGACGTGGTTACTCCCAACGTAGTGAATGCCATACACTGTAAGCTTCCAGTCTTGGCCCGGATTCAGGATAGCCTGGTTCGACTTTTCCCTTCTACGAAATTCTGGCATTGCAAGTCTTGGGTGGCGGACGTTATAAAACCGGACGAACAGAAAGAAATTCTAGTTGTAGAGCATAACAGGGCTCATAGAGCTGCTCAGGAGAACATTAAACAAGTGCTACTAGACTATTATTTCCCAAAAATGGCTAAAATCGCAGCCGAAGTCGTTCTAAATTGCAGGATTTGCCAAAAGGCGAAATATAATAGGCATCCATTAAAGCAGGAATTAGGAAGTACCCCAATACCAACGCGAGTAGGAGAGATGATACATATGGACATCTTTTCAACTGGGGGAAAGCACTTCCTTACGGCTGTTGATAAATTTAGCAAGTTTGCAGTGATTCAGCCAGTAGCATCGCGTGCTATATTAGATGTAAAGGTCCCGATTCTTCAGCTGGTGAACCTCTTCCCTAATGTAAAATCAATATATTGCGATAACGAGCCATCGTTTAATTCCGAAACGATACGATCTATGCTAAATAATCAGTATGATATTGATGTAGCAAATGCCCCACCTTTACACAGCTCGTCGAATGGTCAGGTGGAAAGGTTCCACAGTACTCTTATCGAGATTGCCAGGTGTCTTAAATTGGAGAGGAAAATTGACGATATTAATGAATTATTCCTTCAGGCAACCATAGAGTATAATAGGTCATTTCACTCTGTCACAAATAGGAAGCCTGCTGAGATTCTCCATGCTAACGTTGAGTTTGGCTCAGATATAATTATGAACCTTAAGAAGGCACAGCAGGATCAGTTAGACCGAAATAATCCGGCTCGGCAGAATAGGGTATTTGAGGTTGGTGAGAAAGTGTTAGTAAAAACCAATAGGAGATTGGGGGATAAACTCACGCCTCTGTATATTGAGAATAGGGTCGATGCTGACTTGGGGACAACGGTCCTAATTAAGGGGAGGGTGGTCCACAAAGACAATATTCGATAAGGGCCACCTACAAAACTGTTTCCTAAGCTTACTGTATTTAGGCGTTGGTTGGTTCTTCGTACATTGACAACTTGAAAAGGGAGCGTCTTTCCGTCAGTTCCGAGATGCAGGCTCATTTGACTGCTCACACAACCATGATCAGTAGAAGATTAAAACTCGCTAACATTTAAATTGACAATAAGTTGATGCCATCACTCTTGCCAGAATAAACTATTTGCATTCATTAAAGCTTACACCAATAACCCAAAGGCGATTCTGAAAAAGGTTTCACGAGGGTTTACTTAGCTAGTAAGAAATCACTAAATTTTGTTTACTAAATCTTTAGTTTATATGATAGATAGACAAATTTGCACACACCGGCCTGATACCACGCTTTGATGAGGACACATTACCTGCAGACTATAGGTCGGCTCAGCCAAGCGACCTAGCACCAACTACTTAGTGCCAATTTCAACGATCCCCCAGGCATGATGACCACCGCAACGAAACGCATCCAGATACCACCCGCTTCCAGGCCTGCCCTTTCTTCACCATTTAAATAAAGAAAGCCTGCAGCATATAACGGAGTTGCAAATGCTGGCAATCAGAGGCCATCTGCACCAGCGTCAATCTGCTTTACGTCCTGCGAAATAATAAAGATGTAAAAGCAGAGCTTCGATTGCGGTAACACAAGTCCTTGCTAACATTGACATGGCCGAGGACGCCCATTTTTGAAAAGAAGGGGAGTAGTTAACAACACAAAGGTTAACGGCGAAAAAAGCACAGCAGCGGCGACGGCACACGAAGGCTTACGGTAGAAGCTGGTGGACGGCGGTGATCTGTGCGAGCTAGGGTCATGATTAAGCTTTCTCTGTAAATTTAGTTCTGAACTGGCAGCCGAACAATAAAGGCATATTTCACTAATCAAGCATCATTTAATACAGCCGATGCTAAGACCCTGCTATCGGCCATATCTTGATTAAACAAAGGAAGCCAATTGGGATACGTCACAAGTCGTGGCCACCACCCGGTCTCGATCCGCACTCGGCACTACTCAACGGCAACCGAGGCGAGCACCAAGTGACTGGTCGTTGTGGGCAGCAACTAGCCGCAACACCTATCCCGGAACCAACAACTACGTGAGCACCACGTGCCACGGTGACAACCCCCTGCAGGAAGCGTGCAGGCGGTGGACATTGCGGGCAACTACCTTGCCGCATTATCTCAACAGTGACGTAATCACTGATCGTGGCCACCACCCGGTCCCGATCTGCATTCGGCATCACTCTACGGATTCCGAGGCGAGAGAATATCGCGGGCAACTACCTTGCCGCGGTATATTAAAAACCTTATCTTGTACATACATACATATATACATTCAAACATACCTACAAACATGCGCAGGCTGAGTCTGCTGACGACGCTAAGGCGGCATTTATCGCTCCAAAAAAGCAGGGGGGAAGCCCACAGGGGCACTGCGAGGGGGTGGTGGGTGTATTGGGAGTCATTGATTTTCGTTTATGAGCTGAAGCCCGCAGAGCAGGCGACGCTCTCACTTTTTATACGTTCATTCACACGCGGCACAGTGGGCCAATGTGATTGATGTTGCTAGTTTCCAAGACGTCCTACATTTACAATATGTGTACATTTATATACATGTGGCTTAACACTTTCGCCAGGTAGACAATACACCAATTTATGAGGACAAGCCTTTAAGTTGGATAATCCCTAAAAATCCACTCCATTAAAAGTAATCTTCAAATACTCTTTTAAAGGTTCAGGTTCAAAGAAGTTATTTTATCGAAAACCCTTGAGTTGAATTTAAATTTACATTGTTTAATTTGTTTAAATAAAAATGTAATCTTGTAATCATAGATTTTAGCCCACAGTGCTCTCCGCTTCAAGTGGCACAATGCAAAGAGCGGCGTCGACGAAGAGAGAGAACGGAAAAGAGCGCCACTAGATGAGTGTTGTAAAATGGATGATGAGGGGGAGGGGGGAAGAGTCTTGTAGAGATTGAAATGGGAACTTAAATATGTTATTGATAATTAAAGCGGCATCTTACTTGCTCCATCTCGCTCTGTCAATGCAATTTGCATTCAAAGAAGTTTCATTTTCACTTCTGAAGCAGATTCCGCCACTCAATACCTCGTTGCTGTTGTTGCTTCTGTTAGTTTAGGGGCGAATGTGTGTTTGTGGAGTGTGCGATTTACGTTTACCTGTGAAATAAAAGCCAAAAGCAGCAAAAGCGCGTGCCTTCGCTAATCGCGGGCGGCGAAAGAATTAAAAGCCATGCCGAAACGGGGTAAAAAAAACATCTCGAACGCGCGGCGCTGATTTCGCTGCTGGCGTCGCTGCTTGCCGCAGGTAGCAACGTGTGCGTCACATTTATGCATGTGTGTTTCAGTCCGCTTCGGTTTTTATTTACTTTGTTCTGCTTTTTCCCTTTCTTCTTCTCGCTGTTTTGGTTCTTCTGTTATCGGACAGCAAATTGAAAGCAATAAATACTTAATTGTTAGCTTCTTCTGTGCTGTTGTAGTTGTTGCTATTCTTGCTCGCGCTCTTGTTTTTCCCATTGTTGTTGCTGCCGCCACTTAATTACGTAATTCGAATTTATCTGCTAGCGGCTCGTAAGGAAATAAAAAAGAGCGCGCCAAAAAGGTGAAGCGTGCAAAGAAAATGAGAGTGCAATAGCGGAAATAGGAGGAAGTTATCGAATAAAAAGTAAACAAAATAAATTAATATTAGGCTCTTTTAAATTTCTAAAACCGAATTATAGATAGAATTAGAAAACTATTAGCCAGATGATTATTTATTTATGTAAATAAGTTTCATTTTGTTCCCCAAGAAGGTATTTCCCCAGCAGCATTGCTGTGAATGATTCAGTGTTTCCCTTTCGGGGAACTTTTGGGGCTCGAGGGAAAAATGTTCGAATTAATAAAAATGATTTAATTTTTTCGGTTAAACAGTTTGCACAAACAAACCATTTTTCGGACGAAGCGTCGTCGTAATTATCAACAACACCAGAAATCCACAGCATCCTCATCATCACCTTAATAATAGTATAACAATGATAAACAATGATCTGCCACTTGCCGCCCATTGCCTACCACCGAACCCTCTCTTTTCCCACTCTCTTTCTCCCTGTTTGGCTCTCTTTGTTTGCGTCCAAATTTGCATTGTCTCTTTGTGCTCAAACACACAGATTTACACTCAGCTAAAGGCAGACAGACAGACTGACTAACTAAGGCAGACAGACAGACAGACTGACTAACTGACACGTTCAATGACGAATATTGAGCTGCCAAAACTGACCTCACAGTTGGAACATTCTAAAACTGTAAATTGAGTTGAACTTGTTGCAGGAGGCGGGGGCTTGGGGCTAAAGAGAGACGGCGGCTTTGACACTGATTTTGGCTTTGCTTTTGATTTTGTTTTAATTTTCCACGGGCTTGTTTTATTTAAAATTAATGATTTGTACAAATAAACGTACGCCTATTTCACTGAGATGATTTCCTCACCTTATCCCTGGGATTATTCGCTAGTCAAGCTAAAATGGCAGTGAAAATCGCGGCAAGTGTGAATGATATTTGCCCTAGGAAGTGTTTTGGTTTCTCTTTTGCATTTTTCAATCTCGCCCAAAGCCACTTCGCCGTCGCTTTTTTTTTTTTTTTTTTGTTTTTACGATAATAAAGAGGGAGCAGCAAAAACTATTTAAATTATGCTCGCACGCCCACAAATCCAAGGCAACAACAACAAGACAGACACAGAAAAACAACAAAAACACCACCCACTGACCAGCGTTTTGCTTCCGTTACAAATGTAAGAGCGTAGAGGGGCGCTCTCCGCAATGCCAAAATCTTTTCGCTACAAGCAAACACAAACACACACACATAGGCAGAGCTCGGCACGTAGGCCAGATGTTTGCGCATGAGAGCGGGAGAACGATATCGAAGAGAGTGTGTCAATACTCTCGTTTCTCTCGGGTCTTAAGAGAGCGCCATTCGGCAGGCCTCGGCTCGGCTCGGCTATCGCGAGGGCTATAAATACGAGTGCACGCGCTCTTTCGGAAGCACTTTTTTCAATTATTTTTTCAATGGCGCGTACCGCTCCGCTGCGGAAAACGGAAAAGTCGTAACTGGAAACTGAGTACCGGGATTTCCCCCCAGAAAATAAGAAGACAGTGACAGATTAATTAACGCCGGCTAAAACTGTTGTTTGGCAAATTGCAAGTTCGGTGTTAAAACTACAAACTCACCCAAGTTTTTAAAACAAGCTGCAGCAGAACTTCACATTGTGTTTTCGTGTGTTTTTATATTCTAACGGTGAACTTGCAACACGCGCTTCCACTTACGCTCGCCGCCCCATCCCCCCTCTCACCCTCTACAGGCGGCTCAAAAAGAGAAATAGAAACAAAAAAAACGCAAAACACAATTAAATGTGAGACCTCATTTGTTAATAATAATTACCCCCGCCCCCCAAAATCAAACATCAACTCTGCAATTTTTGTGTGCCTAAACAAAACCAAATTAATAACAAATAAGAAAACAACTAGCAATTTTTGTTGAATTTTTTTATTGTTAAAGAAAATGCAAAACGCAAGTGCAAAATAAACAGAAAAGGAAACAGCAACAGCAAAGAAAACAGCAACTAAAAAGAAGCGATAAAAAATTCAAAAGTCCTGGATTATTTTGAATTTTTTTCATACATCTTAAATTGAACAAAGACAAAAGCGGCAGCTTTACCAAGCTAACGGTAAACAGCAAAGTGAAATCTCACGCAAAAAAAAAGGAAAAAACAAAAAAGCAACAACACAAACACATATTGAAAAAGCAAAGGCAGACAGACGTAGAGGAAGAAGCAGCAGCAGCAAGTGCAAGAGAGAAAGAGCTGTAAAACAAGAGCGGATCAAAGGAGAGCGTGTGTGTCTTCCTTATTTTGAGAAAAAAGTCACAAAAACTCTTGAAAGCTAGTAAAAAAAAAATATTATAAAAGACCTGGAACTGAGCCATAAGCACACGTACAAGCAAGAAAAAGGAACAAAATCAAAGGAGCAAAGCGAATATATATACGCTCCAAAAGCGCACAATGACCTTGCCAACAAACACAAATGCGAGCAGCGGCGGCAACAGCAGCAATCACAGTAATACTCAAAACAGTAACTGCAACAGCAGCAGCAGTGACGAAGATTCAGACATTTTTGGACCGCCCCGCTGCTCACCACCGATTGGTTACCACCACCATCGCTCCCGCGTCCCGATGATCTCACCGAAGCTGCGACAGCGCGAAGAACGCAAGCGCATCCTGCAGCTGTGCGCCCACAAGCTGGAGCGGATCAAGGACTCTGAAGCGAATCTGCGGCGCAGCGTGTGCATTAACAACACCTACTGTCGTCTAACCGATGAGCTGCGGCGCGAGAAACAAATGCGTTACCTGCAGAATCTGCCCAGGTGAGTTGTGTTTTGATTTACATTTTCTTTTTCAAACCAAAGTGCGGCAAACGAAGTTTTAGGAAGGGTTTTGTAGGCTTTTCTAAACTCTTGTGATAGTAATTCTTAGACAGATTTACATAAATCCTTAAATAAGATATTTCTATGATCAGATATTCATATTTCATTTGCTGCAAAGCAAAGCATCCTTTTTACCATTTAACCATTTCATATGTAGATTTTGGCCAAATAAATGAAGTCATATCCTTCTCAGTGTTATTTCAAGCTCCTTGGCCGTATCAGCAGGTTGATGATAATAATAATTGTAACAATGGCGGTGCTTCTGCTTGTGTCATGTGAACTGTGAACTTGGGGGCGACGCCCACGCGGCGGATGCTTGATTTGTTTTTGCCCTTTAAAGTGCGTGGTGCGTGTACATCACAGATACAAATACACACATCTATGTATGTGTGTATATCGTTGTGGTTGACTGCCGGGGGGCCTTAAAGGCCAAGTGCCACCAAGTGGGCGACTTTGTCGACTCAACACAACCACTCTCTGCTCTTTTCCCAGTTGCGTGGCATTTGCGGCGGCTAAAAACCGAATTCCGAATCCGAATCAGAGTCGGAGTCGGAGCATCGGAAAACCGAACAGTAGTAAGCTTAACCTGGGTGAGATTAATGCAAGGTGTCATCCGACAAGTGAGATGCAGCCAACCAGGTACAAAGAACCCTTCGAATAGATAAGTTAACTGATATTAAGATATTGAAGCGACAGCTTAAAGGATAAAGAGAGAGTAAAAAGTATAAAGTATTTGTAATATAACAAGTAAAAATGCAAATAAGTAAAACTATATTGAACTTTGATTTAAGCCGTTAACTGATTTTAACGAGATATTCGAATATATTTGTGTATACTATTAACAAAACACCTTGGATCACTTCCACCTTTGTATCTGCTATCTGTTTGTGCTGTTTTCCTTTTGAACTAGTCCAAAGTGTTTGGTTTTAAGTGCCAACGATGATGCAATTGTTGTGTTTGGGGGCCCCCAAATGCTAACCAGCATTTTCTATGGCTTCCATAAGGACTTGCCAACCGTCGTTGTCGTCGTCGTCGTCGTATCTTTTGCCTTTTCCTCTTTGCGATGTTGCAGCAACAACCCAACAGATACAGCTACAGCCACAGCCACAGATACAGATGCAGTTACAAGCAGCGAACGGACACAGATACGGATACAAGGAAAGCGGCATATTTCATAGCCAGCGGCGGCGGCGGCGGCAGCAACAACAAAAACATTATTCAGGCCAAGCTCAGGCCAAAAACCAAAAGAAAAAGCAAGCCAAAAGCAAAGCAAACGAACCAAAAACCAAAGCAAAGCGAAGCAAGGCAAAACGAAGCATAGCTAAACGCAGATAGGCAGAGACATAAAAACGACACGAAACCAAACTAAATAAAAAAAAAAAAAACGGTAGGAAGGGAGCTAGGGAGGTGGGGGAAGCGTGGAGAGGTACATCATCAACAACAACAACAACAATGGGGAAAACTTGTGCGCCTTGCGCCACACAGTTGTTGGGATTTTTCCAAGAGCCATTGGGAAAAGGGCCAGAAAATCCAAGAAAAATCCAATGGGTAATTAGCGTTTGTTTAATTGCCATTCAAATGTAATTACAAATATTTAAAGATTGTCTACAGATTGAGATACAAAATGGAAAGATACATCGTTAGATACAGTATAGTTGGGGAATATATCACCATTACCTCACTAAAATGTAGATTAGTTTTATGATATTGTGTTAAGATGAATTATAAAACGAATGTATGCTGTGGAAGTAATCAGAAAATTACTGAATAAAGACATACATACAAAATGAAATTCTGAATAATTAGTCAACGAAAACGTCAAGCTTTTTGATCAAATATCCAACCAATTGATTTGACTAATATATACGATATATTCATCATATACATAGCTTGTCGATAACTAATTGATAACCCAAAGATAACAGCAAACATTCCACTTAATCAATACAAAAAAAAAATGTCAACAACAACACCAATACAATACAGGAACATAAAATGCACACACGCATTAACAACAATAACAACAACAACACCAACAACACCACAAACAACACCACCACCACCACCAACAACAACAACACCAACAACAACAACAACAACAACAATAACACCAACTACAAACAATAATAACAACAAGAACAACAACCTTCGAACAGGAAAAACAAAAATCACAAAAAACGGAATGGAAATGGGGAATAAAATCAACAAAAGGAAATCAAAGCCAGCAAATAGGAATTTTATATATATATGTGAGCTCTTTTTTTTTGTTTTAATTTATTTATACAAACAGACAAATGCGCCTCTCTTTTTTTGGCCTGTCTCTGATTTTTTTTATGTAAGTTTTTTTTTTTAATTTTTTGTATGTGTGCGCTAAAAAAAAAAAAGAAAAAATAGCGCTCGTTGAAATAATCACGTTCCACTTGCAACAAAAAAGCAACAACAAACGGCAAGCGATGATAGGCAAAGAGCCCAATGTTGTTGTTGTTGCTGCTGCTGCTGCTTGTGTGCACCTCGGCTAGGCACATGGCAACAACAACAAGAACAGCAACAACATCATCAGTGCACTAAACCTTCAGATACACACACATGAACAGTGTATCTGTGTGTTGTATCATTATTTTCTGCCTTTTCCACACGTTCGCGCTGCGTCTGCTGCTTTTTTTTAACTTCTTACTTGCTGCTCCATTTTCTAGTTGTTTTTTTTTTTTTAAATGCATATTATAACTTCTAGAAACATTTGTTATACATTTAAGAACATGAAAATCATGGAAAAACAAGAAAGGAAGCTAACTTCGGCACGCCGAAGTTTGTATACCCTTGCAGATATTATTTCATTGCATTTTACCTATACTTATTATGTTGAGAGTTTGACAGTTACAGTTTTACATTCCCAGTTTTACATTTTCCCTACACCTACCGATCGGTTTATATGGCAGCTATATGATATAGTTGTCCGATTTTCATAAAATTTATACCAAAATTCTGAACTAATAAAATAAGCTTATATCCCAGAGTAGAAAAAAATAGTTTGAAAAACAACGAAGTTATAATTTTTTTCTATTAATTTCCTGATCGTTCCTATGGCAGCTATATGATATAGTCGTCCGATTTTCATAAAATTTTTACCAAAATTCAGAAATAATATAAAATGATCATATGTCAAAAATAGTGCACATATGTTGAAAAACAGCCAAGTTATAATTTTTTTTCTAAAAATTTATCGATCATTTGTATGGGAGCTATATGATATAGTCGTCCGATCCGGCCCGTTCCGACATATATAGCAGTGAGAGCATATAGAAGACTATATGCAAAGTTTCATTCAGATAGCTTTAAAACTGAGGGACTAGTTTGCGTAGAAACAGACAGACGGACAGACAGACAGACAGACAGACAGACAGACAGACAGACGGACAGACGGACATGGCTAGATCGACTCGGCTGTTGATGCTGATCAAGAATATATATACTTTATAGGGTCGGAAACGTCTCCTTCACTGCGTTGCAAACTTCTGACTGAAATTATAATACCCTGCAAGGGTATAACAAGCTAGTTTTTATTAAACGTTTTAGCTGGAAAGAAAATATCATAGGGATACACAGGAAGCATGAAAAGTGTGACCTTAAATTAATTACTGTTTTTTGAATACATAATTAAGATAGTAAGAACATAGATTCAAGTACAGAAATAGTTTGTGATTCAAGTCAAGAGGTATCCACAAGATACAAAAGTATCTGCATCAAGTGCTTTAATAATTTAAGCCTACAAAAGATACATATTCCAAGGGATAGGAGAGGGGCTTAAAGTGTGTTGCTTTTATTTAAGAATCGTATTATGCAAATGTGTTTAATTGGCTGAAATAAAGAGGATTAAATGATGTATATTTTGCTAGTATTTATTTTTTTTCCCCCTTTGATATGATGTGCATTTTCTTAACAGTTTCCATATTTTTTGTTTTGCCCACCTTGCTATCTTGGCCATATGTATATATATGAAATAATCTATTTATCTGTCTATCGGGCTTACTTTGCTTTCTTTTGCTTTATTTCTTAGCTTTGCTTTGCTTTGCTTTCATCGGCTTTCGATGGAGAAAACAAACAACGAACAATTCGACATACCGTTATATGCTTCGCTTTGCTTTGTTGTACATGTTCGTTCATTGCAAAGAGTTAATTCATCGCCGATTTTCCTTTTGGCCAAGTTGTGTTGTGTGTTACCTCTGGGTTTCCGTTTTGTGTGTTTGTCAATGTTGCTTTTGCTTTTGCCTTTGCTTTTTGCCTTTGCTTTTTGCCTTTTGTTTTTGCTGCGTTTGCCATTTCCATTGCGTTTGCTTTGGTCTGACACGTTTTCTCTGGAATATACAGACATTGTGTACTATATGTATGTATGTATGTGTGGTGTGCTTTATGCTTATTATTACTCGGAGGCTTTTCCTGTAGTTGCAATCGATAATTTAATTACAACGAAAATATGTTAAACGGTGAAATTGAAATAAGTGTGAGGGGGGATATGGATATAGCGATAGCATACAGATAGCGATAACTTTTCGCTTATCGAGGTATTGTAGTGACCATTGAATTGCTCGATTAACTTGCCTAACATTCTCTCACATATTTTAATTTTAATTCATATAAGATACAAGCAAAGAATAAGCGAATGCCTTTGAAATAATAATGTCAAAAACCAAAACAACAGCAACAACAACAATTTTGTTTAAATTTCAATTTGCTTTTATGGCAATCTGTATCTGAATCTGAATAAGTTGGCGGCGGCGTCGGTAGTTTGGAAGTTTATCTATCTGCACAATATCCATGTTGTGCTGCTGCTCATTGCTTATGCATCCGCTCGCTGAAATGAAATCCATACAAATTGCTGCTGCTGCTGCTTTTTTATGCATTTTAAACACTCTCGACATTACGAAAAAGCTACACTCGCTGCC